CTTATTGCTTCCACTGCCCGTTCTGTATTCCCTTGGCCTTCACCAAGCAACTCAGCAGGCCTGGCTACCTTGTCCAGTGCGGTAATCCAAATCTCCTTTCTGGAGGATCTAGGACATGAGCCCTTCTGACCGAGGGAGGCGGGAGTAGTTGGCATGAACTGTCCTCTCAGGATGAAGGTACCCTGAGGCCCTCGGAGCTCCACATTCCTCCCAGCTCCCAATACTGACAGGCTGATCACCCACGCCTGTGGGTGATCTTGTGCCCTGGCGTGAGATGCCAGGCGGCCTCTTACTGCGTCCTCGGAAAAAGCATGCTTCTCTTGGGAACGAAAACTTCTCAACTAGCAGAGCCTGAAGTTGTGTGTATGGGAAACACATCTTGCTGCTGGCGCCCCGGCCTGTAAATTCTGGCTAGGGGGTGAAGCGGCCCCACTTTCTCTGCTACATGTTTATGGTTTCTAGCATCATTGTGCTGTATTCCAAGAACATAATCTGTACTTCGGCCTAGCCCAGCATGTGTGCACTTTTTTTCCATGTGTCCTTGGAAAGAATGTGTTCCGCACTTGGCACGCTCTGCTCCATAGATGGCTGTGAGGTCAACTGTCTTGTTCAAGTCCTCTCTAGCCTTTTTCATTCACAGCCCTCTTCTTCTACAAGTTACTGGTAGAGATGTGTAAAAATCTGGTAGCACCGGTGCATGTAGTAAGAGCCTCCAGGCTTGGCCTCCTGTGACCCCAGAGCTGGAGGTGGGCTTCCCCCACACAGGTCTGGCTTCAGACCAGTGGGCATGGCTGAAGCAAAAGGGAGAGGAGATGGTGTGGAGAGGCGGGAGGGGAGGCAGCTACTGGACATCCCATAGGCTGGGGAGCACCTGTCCTGTGAGCAGGGTCCTGCTCCCGGTAGCTCTATGGGACAGGCTCCTGGCGCCCACTGGTGGCCTCTTGCTTCACATCTGATACTTAGCCTCTGGAAAGCACTGAGGTCTCAGACAAGGGGATCCCCCTGTTGCCCCAGCCCGGCTCTCCTCTGTCCCCGTGGATTGGTGGGTCTCTTCGTCTCCCTCCCTTTCACTCCCCTGCTCCAGGTACTCTAGGCTCTTGCCCGCATTCTCGACATTGGTGCCTCAGAACACAAAACACTAAGGTCTCCCGTTACAATCTTTTTTTTTTTTTAAGATTTTATTTATTTATCTGACAGATCACAAGTAGGCAGAGAAGCAGGCAGAGAGAGAGGAAGGGAAGCAGGCTCCCTGCTGAGCAGAGAGCCCGATGCGGGGCTCGATCCCAGGACCCTGGAATCATGACCTGAGCCGAAGGCAGAGGCTTTAACCCACTGAGCCACCTCCCGTTACAATCTTGAAACGGACTCCAGGCTCTTCACTTTACTCTATGGACCGGCTTTCCCTCAAGAGTCCTGCTGGGCCCTGGCTCCATCACACTGGAAAGAAACCAAGGACAAGGTGAGCTTCAGTCACTGTGAGGATCTGAGAGCCCTGGCTATCTTGGGCAGGGGCCAGGCTGTGGAGGGTGAGGGCTCAGGCAAAACTGTAGTTGGGGATGCCCGGGGAGCTTGCAAAGTCAATTTTAGGAGATATGTAAATATGCCAGGTCTTGAGATGATGTGAAAGTGTCACCGTGAGACACAGAGGAGGAAAGTCACCCTATCTTGGACCCACTGTCTCTTCTCATTCTCCACTAACTGAGGTGTTGACCCTCACCCTGAACACGGCCTTCTTCTGCTGCACCTAACACCTGCAGTACGGCACAGAGCCAGGAAGGGCACAGTGGGGGAACCTGGCCTTCTCAGAGTAGCTAACCCTGGAGGAAGATGCCCCATCTTCAGCCCATGTTCTTTCTGTGGTTGGGAGACAACGGTCCCCAAAAGGGCTCCCTTCCTTTCTTCCTGCCAAAGGAAGGCATGTTTGGGAACATAGGGTTCAGCGTGGCGGGGGCATGGAGGGCCTGGGTGAGGACGAAGGGTCATGTCTGGAAGGGCCTACAGGCCGGCCTCAGCGGAGGTTTACATAGAAACCAACAGGGGTTGGGGTACCTGGGTGGCTCAGTGGGTTAAAGCCTCTGCCTTTGGCTCAGGTCGTGATCTCAGGGTCCTGGGATCGAGCCCCACATCAGACTCTCTGCTTAGCAGGGAGCCTGCTTCCTCCTCTCTCTCTGCCTGCCTCTCTGCCTACTTGTGATCTCTGTTATATAAATAAATAAAATCTTTTTAAAAAAAAAGAAAGAAAGAAAGAAACCAACAGAGGTGTTTGAGGAAGGGAGTGACCCCATCCGACTGAGTCAGAATGATCACTCAGACATGGAGGGGAAGTCAGGTCAGTGGTGGGAGGCCCTACAGTGGGCCAGCGGTGGACAGCAGCAGCCCTGAGTAGAAGCAATCAAGTGACAGGAGGAAGTAGCCTTGAGAGAGTAAGGCCCAGACTTGGGGTGGGGAAGAGTGAATGAGAAGGCAGGAGAGGAGGTGGTGTCTGGCTCTTGGCTTGAGATCAGCAAGTCCGGAGAGAAGAACAGGTGAATGTGTGCTGAAAAACAAACAAACAAACAAACAAACAAAAAAAAACCCTTGCTATGCACAACAGGCAGGAGTAAGTCCCCTTCACACAGCACAGGCTCCAGTCTCCAGCCCACCTTGAGACATGGTGGCAGGTCCCTCCCCTCCAGGACTCAGGTAAAAAGGAAGATGGGCAGAGAGGGAGGCCCCTATAGGGGAACTCCCAAGATGGGCCATCAGAGGGAGGGAGAGGCATTGGGCTTTATTTGTAAGACCCACACAGACCCCCACCAGCCTCCAGGAAGGCAACTGTGCCCCCTTTCCACCCCCAGCACAAGCCTAGGACAGCTCTTCACTTTTGGGGGTGCCTGCAGCTATGTGAGAAGACCCACCCAGAACCACACAAGGGACCACTTCCTTTTCCAAGAGGCAATGTGAGGGTTACATAAGGAGCACGTTATTACTTGGCTGTTTGTGACTCACTCTCACTTCAGGGGTTCCGGGACCTGGAAGACCTAAGTGAGGTCCAGAAGGCAGAAACGGTGGTGCTTCCAGTGATCTCCAGGAAGAAGGTGAAGCCTGGCTAAGGGTGTTGGTAAAGGGAAGCGGGGACTGAAAGACACTTCACTTGGGAAGCTCTGGTAACAACATTTCACGTGTTTGTAGGCGGCCACCAGAAGGCACTTCTGGACCTCAGAAGGCAGGCAACCCCCAGGGGGGAGGCCGTGGACCCTGGACGGTCTTCAGCAATGTGCTCCCCACCAGCATTCTGACTGTGTGCAAGGGTTATGGCCTCTGGTGCAGTAGGCATGGTCCACGTCCTGACACCCCAATTCCGCACTCACCAGGCAGCCTTCTGATGCAGTGGCCTGGGTCATTAGATACTGAAGATGGGGCTCTCCGACAAGAAAAGGGCTTCTCTTTCCCCATCCCCAGTAATTCTGTGCATTGGCATTCTGGCAAATACATATATCCACCTTTTGTGACGTTGGCAAACGTCCACTTGTCCCCAAGGGCTGAGCAGCTCCAAGCGGACAGAGAATACTTGGTTTTCACTTTGGACTGTGGTGACTAAACCACTTGCCGCCTGAAAAGTCCTGCCAAGAGCTGCCCAAGGCTGCAGCAGAACCTCCAGAATTCTTCCTTCCCACAGCTGCCGGGGAGATCTGACACCAAAGCACCTCACTTATGCTATAGTCATGGCCTCTGTTTTCCCACCTGCCACAGGAGGGGCCGAGTGACCATATTCTCGAGCCTCTGCAATTGTGACAGTGCTTCCCCCTACCACCACAGGAGAAGGGGAAGGGGGAAGGCTGACCAGGGAAGCCACCTGGGACAGAGAGGTGATGGGGATGGGGGTTATGCAATCGGGGTTCCTGCTTCTCGTCCAGATGACTATACATGTTGACTTCGGGAGTGTGGGGAGGGATCTGTGAGGTCTAATTCTTTGCTACATCTGGCAGTTTTTTCTAAAAAGTAAGCCACAATGTACCATTCCAAGTTATGTTGAAAGAACTTTGGGAGTGAGAATCAAAAATTGAAATATTTCAATCCTCTTTGCCCCCAGTTTGCCATGCAGGTTTGTATGTCTGACTCCTCTGAGTTCCAAAGGGCTGTGAGGGGGTATCAGCCAGGTGCGTTGCAGCCAGAGGCTGACTTCAAGAGTGGGCTCAGGACAGAGCCTGGCATTGACCAAGGCAGGAACGAGCAGGTGTGCCCAACGACAGACCCTTAGGATCCCCAGAAATAATACTCCACACGTGGCGAATAACTCCTAGAGATGGGGCTTAAATGAGTATGGCCTCTTCTGGGTTAAGTGAGTTCATCTATATAAAAACATAAGCATGAAGATAAATTATGACTTACTCTAAATTGTGATATGAGTACTTCTTGCATAAAAAGAAAAAGAATTATAGAATCAGAAAATAAAATCCAACACTTTGCTGTTTATAAGTTATACAGCAAAATATATACACAAATTTTGAAAATAAAATGCTGAGTGAAAGCAACTCTCATGCAGATGCAAATTGAAAAAAAGCAAGGGGCTTCAATTATGGTATCTGGAAAAGAAAAATGTAAGCTAGAAACATTCAAAGAGGCAAAGAGGGCAGAGAAAGGCACAATTTTTCAATATAGTACTATTAAATATATATGCTCCAAATATCCTGGTACTTACTTAGTGATACCCTGTTTCTCTAAAAGGATTTGAGAAAACTGCAGATCACATCTAACATTACAACAATGAACATAAAATAGAAACAACTGAAGTGAAACAGAAATAAAAAGTAAAAAACACAAAATCAGACTACAATCTGATCATGTCAGTGAGTGCTCCTAACTGTTTTGGGGCTCACAGAGCCTTTCCAGAATGTGGGGAATGCTACATGTCCCCCCACCCCCCAACCCCGAACAATCCATTCACGTTCATAACCCCCAGCTTTTCTCCACCCCCTATGCCGACTTTACAATAGACCTGCGTGCTCCTGGACTCCTGGGCAGTATGCAGACCCCAGGTTAAGAAATGTAAAGTAAACAACAGAGAAAGTATGAACTTGAATAAAGTAATTTAAAAACAAGTTAACAAATAGAACGGATGGAGTACAAACCCATTTCTTGAGAGTACACAAATGCTTTATAAAAACCAATCGTATCTTCAGGCCCAGTGTCATTCTATGGACACTTAGAAATGTTGATACCACAGCACAGTAAGAAAGAATGGCAATGACCTATGCACTCATCACTTGGAAGTACAGAAAAAATAACAACCCTTGGGCCAAAAGGCAATTCCTCGTACGGTAACAAGAACTTGCATGTGTCAAGTTGAAAGAGTGCAGAAAAAGCTCTAAGAAAAAAGTCCTAGACCAGAGTACCTGCATTTGCTAGAAACATTAAAAATATGATTAGCTATAGCTAAATAAATTCAGAAATATAAAATATGAAGTTAAAAAAAAAAGAGCAGACAATACATACACTTGGACAAAACCATCCAATTAGTCAATAAAACTGAAAGCCGGAGCTTTATAACACTCAACATCTGCCATTAGAAGGAAAAAAAGAAAAAAGTAAGAAACAAAAACAACAACTAAATCCAAGGACGGTTAAAATATTACCAGAATGTTCTCTTGTAATACTATACTGTTACAGAACCTAAATAAATTGAAAGATTTGAAAATATATAAAATGGTGAAGGAATGTGAACAGAAGGGACTAGGTCCTGCTCAGTCTTTGAAAAGTACCTGGTTCCACCATTATGGGAGAATCTGTCCACCCTTCTGAAAAGGGGGTCTCAATGTTACATAAATTGTCAAGAGGAAGGAGGAGACGGGGGTCGGGGGATGAGGAAGAGGAAAAAGTGCATATCCCAAAACGCAAGAAGGGCATAAAATAAGCTAAGGGAAGCCGGGAGACAAGGGAGCGTCCAGGCAGGGTGGCCTGAAGCCCCTGTGGTCTGTTCCAAAGGAGCAAGCCAGATTGGCTAAAATGGGGGCTTATCTGCAGAACAGCCCGAGGGTTGGTTTTAAGGAAAGTGGTGGCATGTGCAAAAAGATGCTTTAGAAAAATCAATTTGGCTGGTGTGTGCAGAAGCACACGGAGAGACATCAAAGGTAGGAAACTGATGACTGCCAGGTGAGGACAGGCCTGGCCAAGGCGAGGCCAAATGGGGGTGCCAAGGAGGTAGATCTTGGGGGGGGGTGCTGTTCCACCCACGCTGAGCAGGGGTCTCAATTCTCTCTGCACTTTTAGTAAGTGACTGCAGACCCTCAGTGCAGGCCACCTGCCCACAATACGTGGGGCCAGCTGGTCAGGCTGGTCTAGCTGGTGGTACGGTAGGTTCTAGGAGACCCGGGTGCTGGCTCGAGGTTTCACACATTCATGCAACAGAGAGGAGCTGGAAAGGAGCAACTGCTGTCCCCATGGCTGGGACGCCTGCTGTCATCCCCCCAGCTGGAGACCTGGCCTTTTAAAGTCTCCAGCCTGCCAAGCTCCACTTACTAAGTAACCATTACTTGTCCATTTGTATTCATCAAAACAATACATGACCGCCAAGCTGAGCTGAAACAGCCAGTATTCCCATGATCATGGGATCCCAGCCATAAACTTTTGGAAAACTTCAGAATCGCTCAGACTGGCACTGAGGAGCCTGGGGGAAGGCAGTACCAAAGAGATCCCGGTGGACACATGAAGGCCCAAGGACCAGGGCCAGACACCCCTCAACCAGCCAGACACGGTGCGGCCCGTGCCAATTCCTGGCAGAAGGGAGGCATGGGGACTGAGACAGAATGGCCACCTTCAAACTCTGCTCATGCCAAGCACATTTGGGAGACGCTGGGGTCTTACGATGCCTAGCATAGGGCTCACACCCTGGCTATGTACTAGAACATTCTAATCACCTAGGGAGCTTTAAAAACATACCACTGTCTGAGCCCCACCTCTGGGGATGCCAACCGAATTGGTCTAGGCAGGCAGCAGGCAATGGTACTTCTTGAGCAAAGCCTGAGGAGAGGAGAGAAGCATGGGGACGCAGGCCGCACAGACCACACTGACGCTGGGGAGAGCTTCAGGATGACATCTGGAAAGGGTCCCTGTGTGGGAGGTGGCCCCACAGGGCACCCACAGCCCCGGGAGCAGGTTAGAGGGGGTGATGGAAAGCCTGAGCCCCGGTTCCACAAGAGGGTGGACTGCAGGCCCTGGCATCCAGGGAACCAGCAGGGGTGCCTCTCCTGCCTTTAGGAAATAGATCTCTGGGTAGGGCAAGGGTCCCTCTGGGTCTCCATCCTCAACTGCCAGTTGCCAAAGCACTTCCTGGCTGGTTTCATTCTGAACAGGAGTCAGCCAGGTCCCAATAGCCCCATCTCATAGATTGAGAAACAGAGCCCTGGAGTTTCCTCAAGGTCACACAAGTAGGAGGAGTGGAACTGGGATCTGAACTGGGACCTCTGACTGGATGGCCATGCTTCCCACGTCCCCCAGCACTGCAGAGCCACTGGACCAGAAACCAGCCATGGGGCCGACTGAGGCATGCTGTGGTCTGGGGAGCCTTAGGTCTCGTGGAGAGGTTATAACTGGAGGGCACTAATGCCTTAGGCCAGGCTGAGTCAAAGCCAAGGTCAAATGTCCTCTGGCCTACAGGACCAAACCTCTACCATCCTATGAAAGAGCCATCCGCCAGAAACTATTCTTAACTAACCCAGAACAGGGATCAAGAGACCATGCCAGGGGCTTGCCACCCTCTTCCCCGACCCCAGAATGAGTCCTTTCAGACCCTCCCTTTCTTCTGTAACCTGTTGTTGGTTATCCCCGCCAATGCTCAAGCCAGGTGGAAGATTCCATTTTGCTGTTAACCTATCTACTTCCAGATTCATTTTTCTTTAGCGGATTTGGACTGTGAGCACAGTTCTGTCTTCTCAAAGTGCCAGACGGCAGCTGATGTTAAAGAGTCCATCTGACATTTTTGTGTGTTTCACTCAACTTTCTCCCTCTGTTTATTCTTCTGGATTTTGACAAAGGCAAAGAGATGGCAAAACCCAATCTCCCAGGCTTGGGAGTCAAATGTGAATGACTTGAAGGCCAGGTCTCTTTTGGGGTGTGCCTCTGTTTCAGGGGCCTTCCCATTACTCCACCCTTCCTGCCACTCAGTAAACCGGCTGCGTGTGGGGCACCCGGGGGTCCGTGAGGGGGCCTGGCTGCTAGCGTGTGTGGCCAGAAGCGCTGGGGGTGGCACATTTCCATTTGGCCCTGGGATCAAGGGAGGTGGGCAGGGTCTTTCAGACAAGGCAATGGGGTGTGGGCTCCATCTGGGAAAGGGTCTCAAGCTTTGGTGTGAGTTCCTCCTTCTAGAGCTTCTCCCCAGCATGGATTTTCTGATGCCGAATAAGGTGTGAGCTTCCCCTGAAGGACTTGCCACATTTGTTACACTCGTAGGGCTTCTCTCTGGTGTGGGTTTTATAGTGCTCAATAAGGGCTGACCTGTGCCGGAAGGCTTTGCCACACTCGTTGCATGCGTAAGGTTTTTTTCCGGTGTGGATTCTCTGGTGCTGAATGAGGGCAGAGCTGTGGCAGAAGGCCTTCCCACACTGGCTACACTCATAGGGCTTCTCCCCAGTGTGGATGCGCTGGTGCTCAATGAGGGAGGAGCTCTGGCTGAAAGCTTTCCCACACTTATGGCATTTGTAGGGTTTTTCACCGGTGTGGGTCTTACGATGTTCAATGAGGTTGGAGCTCTGGCTGAAGGCCTTCCCACACTCTTCACATTTGTAAGGTTTCTTCCCAGTGTGAATCCTCTGGTGCCGAATGAGGTGGGACCTGTGACAAAAGGCTTTCCCACAGAGATCGCATTCGTGAGGTTTCTTGAGCGTGTGGATTTTCCGATGCTGGCTCAGGCCGGAGCTCTGGTTGAAGGATTTCCCACATTCCTTACACTGATAAGGTTTCTCTCCTGTATGGATTCTCTCGTGTTTTCTGAGACTTGAGCTCCGGCTGAAATCCTTCCCACATTCCCTACATTCGTACGGTCTCTTTCCAGTGTGGGTTTTCTGGTGTTGCGTGAGGGCTGAGCTCTGGCGAAAGGCTTTTCCGCATTCCCGGCATTCGTAGGGCTTCTCCCCAGTGTGGATGATCTGATGTCTGAGAAGGTGTGAGCTCTGGCTGAAGGCCTTCCCACACTCACAGCACTCATAGGGCTTCTCCCCGGTGTGAATCACCAAGTGCCTGAGGAGGTGTGAGCTCTGGCTGAAGGCCTTCCCACATTCCCGACATGCATAGGGTTTTGTGGGTGGTGCAGTTCTGTGAGGCTCGTTAGGTCCTGAGTGTGCCCTGTTCGCCTTCTCACAATTGTGTTTACTGGGTTCCTCTCCACTGTGGATTATCTGACACATACTAAGGTCTGATTTCTGGAAGAAGGTTGGGCTGAAGACGTCATCATCCTGGGGTCTGTTCACCGGGGGGGTACTCTGATGCTGAACAGGGCTTGAGCATAGGCTGAAATTGCCCTCATAATCGTCATGTTCCTCGTCTTGCTCCCCGAGAGGGATCTCCTTATAAATAACAGCCATTTGCTCTAAACCTCTTTCCTGAAGAAAAGGGTCCCCCAGGTCCTCCTCTGGGAAGAGTCCTTGCTGCATCTCTAAGCTGTCCCCAAACACAAAGGTCTCACCAAACTTGGCTGCTGGGGGAACCTCCATTGTGAATCTAGTGTCACCCCCAATGACTGTATTTCTTGAAAGATCGTCTTCTTAAGAGCATTTACTGTTCTCCCAATCTGAGAAGAAAACAAGGGACATTGTCAAGTCTGCAGATCAGGCACCTAGGACGTACCTCCTGCCTGTGCCAGAATCTATCGTGGACCAAACAAAATAGCTATAAGATCCAAGCTGGCCCTTGAGATGAACCCCACTGAGTTAGAGACAAGTCTGATTTATCAGAAACACTACAAAGAAGATGGACAGAATCAAGTGCTATACCATGGGATCTAGAACCTAAAGACTGAAGGTGTTCAGAAAGGTAGCCGAGAACAAAAGTGGAGCCACTGTGGAAAGGGGGCAAGATTCTGGCTAATGGAGGATCTTGACAATGGCAGTTTTTGAGAGAGTACAAACTTCCCTCCTCTACTAGGTTAGCTGCAGCCCCTCCAATCAGGTGCCCAAGCCACGACTCTGGGAGTCAGCCTAGACCTTCCCCCTCTCTCACCCCATACGTCTAGTCTGTCCATTTCCTGAGGCTCTATTAAGAGGTCTCTGTCTCTCCGTCAGTCTGCAGCTCAGGCCTCATGCAATTCCCCAGGATCACTTCAATGCTCACCGCCCAAATGACCACCGACCCCCAGCTTCTACTCCTCCCTCAGGTCTGTTTTCTACCTTGACACCAGAATCAAATACCCCAAACACAGGCCCGATCATCTGCCTCAGGATCTCGCGACAGCCCAAAGCCTTCACAAAGCCCTTTGCGCTAGCCGCCCCAGCCCCAGCTCCAGCCTCTCCTTCCACATACCCCTAGCTGCTGCCTCATCCTCCTAACAGGTTCCCCTCCCGTCTCAGATTGCCACTGGCTCATCTTCCCAGACTCAGTCTTAATGTCCCTTTTTCTGCACCCTAAGTCTTGTGATCTCAGGCTCAGGGACCTGCAGAGTTCGGTGCACGTGTCCATCAAAGCACTCACAACCCTGGATGGCAAACATGCTGCCTGAGAGCTCCCTGGGGGCAAGTACTGTGCTCCTTCAACGTGAAGCCCCCAGCCCACAGCACAATAGGACAATCTCCACACACAGTGGTTGCATAAATACATGACTGAATGGAAGAAAAGTCATGTTTTCCTGCTAGAACTGGTGGCTACACTTTTCTGAGGGGAGGGGGGCACAGAACTCTATTCAAATAAATCATCTGGGAGATACAAATAAATAAAAGATAAAAGCAGAGGTGCTCCAGTTAATGGGGGTTGTTTTCATAGGGACGTGGACGGATCCCAGAACACTCACCATTCCACTGTGGTGGCCTCCGAGGGAGCCTCTCGGGACCTCATTCAGAAATTGCTGTGCAAGGGGCACCTGGGTGGCTCAGTGGGTTAACCCCCTGTCTTCAGCTCAGGTCATGATCTCAGGGTCCTGGGATCGAGCCCTGTATCGGGCTCTCTGCTCAGCAGGGAGCCTGCTTCCCCCTCTTTCTCTGCCTGCCCCTTTGCCTACTTGTGATCTCTCTCGTTCTGTCAAATAAATAAAAAATAAAATCTTTAAAAAAAAAGAAACAGAAATTGCTGTGCAAGCTGAAGGGAAACCCCAGGAATCATAACAATAATAGCTCGTGTTTATTGAGCATCTACTATGTGCTAGGCACTACTAGACCTTCTATAAGCACATGTGCATTTAATCCTCACAATTCTATATACAAAGGTACTATTAGCAATACACTGAAGCGTAGACAAGCAGCTCAAAAACACACTAAATTAATCAGCATAGTCGCAATGGAACTCATTTCTATTTGGAAACAATTTTTTTTTTTAATGAATAATCAGGCGATACGAAGGCCAGGGGTGGAAAAAAAGCACAGAACTGAAGTATTCTCAAAAATTCTTTGATCACTTATCTCCCCTTCCCCTCTTCCTCAGCAACCAGAATCTCCCATCCTTCAGGTTCTCTAGATTGATCTCATTGGGTCTAACAACCCACTGATTTCATCCTGGCTCTCCACTTCTAGTCCACCCTTTCCTGTCTAGCTTAGACTCTATTGTGGATCGAACCATAGACACTGACCAGCATCACATTCCTCACCTCCTTGCCCTGCTGCAACCAGCCGCCAAATACCAAAGCTCTCCATCAATTCCTCCTAAGATGTTAAATGTTGCCAAAGAAAATCATAGGACTGTGTACTGCACTGAGACAAATTTCAAGTTTCCAATTCCAGCTGGGACTTCAGCATCTTCAGCTCTTCCATCCAGTGACCTCCTTATGGCCAATCCCTCTCTTCTCAGACCTCACTTTCCCACCCCTTTTGGCAGTGCTCACCAAAAGCTCCCTTCTCAAAACCCTTCATTTCAAAAGTTGCAAATTGGCAGCCTGAGGATCCTGCCACAGACGCGTTTTGTTTGGCTCGGGAAAGAGTTGGAACCTTTTCTTTTTGTTTGACTTAGCTGCCAATATTGGAAACTCTGTAGGTTTCAGGCTTTCTCTTGAAAACCTGGAAGATGTGATAAAACGGGTCTACCCTGCCATTAAACCCACCTTGCATACCTGAACGCCTCAAGATTTTGAGCCCCCCACCCCCTTTCCCACCTCCTTCTTTATTCCCTTCATTTATGAAAGTTCTTTCTCCCACTCCCCGTTTTAATGCTCTCCGATCCCTTTTTCTTGGCATCTGTGATTACAACTCTTCTTCCACCCACCTGTTAAATCCTGATGTTTCCAAGGTTCCCTCCTTAGGGGTTTCCCATTCCCACTATAGACCACCTACATGCTTAAGTCTCCACGCTGTTTACAAAGTTGGCGATCCTTTATCTGTCCTCAACAATGTCTTAAATTTTTTGGGACCGAAGATCCCAAGGTCTGGAACCCCAACTTCCCACCTCTCTCGAGGCCTTCCTCGGCTTCTCCTGTATGCTCACCCTATGCTTCGGGGAGCCCTCCGGGCCTGGGCACCCGGGAGACCCTCGGTCCTGTCAGGGTTTCCTGGCTGGAGGCCCGCGGGCGGCTGCTGACACGCACACGCCGCTCGAGCAGCGACGCGGAGCCCCTACAGGCTTCCCACCGATGGGGGACGCCCACACCCAGGGCCACCGGAGAGACAGGTGGTCACACTGGCTGGTGCGGAGCCACTCACCTGGGCCGGGGCGGGGCCGCTCACCTGGGCCGGGGCGGGGCCGCGGGCGGGCGGGGCGGGGCCGCACCAGAGCTGCTCCAACCCGCGGCCGACCCGGCCTCGCTCAGAGGCAGCTGCTGACGCGGAGCCCGCGGCGGCCCGAGCGCCCGGAGCCCCGCCTCCCACCCGCGGGCACTTCCGGGACCGCTCTAGGCCATGTGGAGGTCCCTACGTCTCGATGCTCCGGCGGCACCTGGCGTCCGCGAACTTAGGTGCCACGACTCTAGGTTCCAGGGCTGGGACTGGTGGTCTCTGGGCGGTTCCCAGAACAAATCCTGGTTTTGGGGGAGACAGCTGGTTAGCCGTTGGCGGGAGTGCAGAAGAGGCAACTGAGGCCGGGAAGGGCGGGCGGGCAGGCGTAGAGCCGCAGGCAGGCGGCCAAGTTCCCGCTGCACGTGCCCTGCGGTGGGGGCGAGCCAGAGGCCACGCGGGTGGCGGGGGTCTTCGGGAGAAGGGAAGAGGTTCCTAGAGCTGTGGAGCCTGTCACCCCGCGCAGGCCCAGGGGTCCTGCATGATTCACCCTTCCTGGGTAACCCAGGTCCTGCCTGCCCGAGCTGGTACCAGCAGAGACAGACAAGAAGGGGCCGAGTGAGGGCCCAGGAGACAGCTGGGAGTGGAGGCTGGACCCTGGAGACCCGGAACTCCAGTGCATGTGAGGGATGACCTCCAGACATAGGCGCCTCTTAAAAGAACCAGGAGGGAAGAACAGTGTGTTTTTGAAGCCCGCTCCAACACCTCTCAACCTCCACCACACACCCAGACGCTCAGCTCTGCTTCTAATAAGGATTGCTCCCCCACCCAGGGCCCCCCACTCGGCCCAGTTGCTCAGGTACAGCCTTCCCCGCCTGTGGGAGAACTGGTTAGGGAGAGGGGCACAGGCCTACCACTGGTGACCAATAGAACATACATTCCTAATGGGAGAGATGCTGCTCAGGGGCACCTGGGTGGCTCAGTCAGTTAAGCAGCTGCCTTCAGCTCAGATCATGATGCCAGGGTCGTGGGATCAGGTCCCACATCAGACTCCCTGCTCAGCGGGGAGCCTGCTTCTTCCTCTCCCTCTGCCTGCCGCTCTGCCTACTTGTGATCTCTTTCTGTCAAATAAATAAATAAATAAAACACTTAGAAAGATAGAGATGCTGCCACCTGCAATGAGCACCATCTGTCCAAGCTCTGGGGTGCCTCCGAGTGGCCCCACCCCACATACATACTCATACCTCCTCCATGCCCCATCAAGGAGTAAGCAGGCGCTCCATAAGGACCCAGTCCAGCCACCCCTTGAGCGCTGAACCACAACGAGCCATGCAGAGCTAGGAGCAGCAAGAGCTGGTTCCTTTTTCTCTTCCTCCAGCTCCTCAGGTCACAGGAAGCCCAGGCCACCAGTCTAAGCCCCCTGGGGGCCAGTGGAGAGTCTGGACCCCGCCCCAAGGATCTCAGGTGCTTCCTCTTCTGTAACAATCCCCAGAATCCCTACCCCCACACTCCCAGTCACTTTTTCAGCAGGAATTTCATGGCCTTCAGAATAGTTACTGTTCATGTGCTTGATATTATTTTTTTTTTACATGTTTAATATTGTTAACCCATTTTACAGAGGAGAAAGTTCAAGGTTTGGAGAAAGAGGGGTGCCCAAGATCAGAGTGCAGGAATGAGAGGCAGAAAAGAAGCCCACGCTCCACCCCTAGGATATGTAAGCCACAGAACAGTAATAATCTGCGTCGTCCTCGGGCTGCACGGGGCTGATGGTCAGGATGCAGGCATTGTGGGCGGCGTCTGTGGCTGCCGAGAAGCGGTCAGGGATGTCAGGGGGCCGGTGGTAGTTGTCCTCTGAGCGGTAGTAGAGGAGGTATCGGGGGGCACTGCCTGCCCGTTGCTGATACCAAGACACGCCGTACTCCCCGATGGTGGCATGGCGGGGGCTGAGCATGCAGGAGAGTTGGGCCACTTGGCCTGGAAAGACCAGCAGTGCATCTGGCTGGGGCAAGCCTGGCTGAGAGACTGAGAGAGAGAGAGACTCGTGGGCTCCTTTCTTCCTGTCCCCACCCCGCAAAGGCTTGGTCTCTCTCCAAGGAGACTCTGACTCCCGAAAGGCTCATAGACCTGTGCATAGAATTGAGATGTGTGGGGCACAAATCTGACAACCCCCAAGTCCTCATTTGTGCTATGTTCCCAAGAATCTGTGTTCCGTTGAGCACCTAGAGTTCAGAGTGTGGGACTGGTGGCCTCTGGGTCCTTCTCTGCCAGCCCCCATTCCTTACCCCAGTCACACTGGCTCTTCCAGACTCTGGCTACTGCCACCACCTGGAAGCCTCCTGGGCTGTCCCATCCTTCAGGTCAGCCTCAGACAACTGGCTGCTGGGAATCTTGTCAAGGATAGTTTGTCTTTGAGGCCCTTGGGGTAGCTTCCCACGTGAAAAACTAAAAAGGTGACTGACCAATTCCAATCTCTTCTGAGACCCCAAATAATCAGAATCTGAAGGGATCCTAATAATCTGCTCATCCCCCATTCACAAATGGGGAAACTGAGGCCCACACCGAGAAGTGACATGCCCCAAATCTAGGGCAGTTATTTGTAGCCAGTTCTCCCCTCCACCTTAATGCCCCTTCTAGAACCCTCCCACTGCCTACATCGATTTGCTTCCTTGCAGGGGCCTTTTGGAGCCCGTGCCATCCCCCACCTGACCCCAGGTGAGCCAGGCCTGGGGGAGCTTACCAGACAGGAGGGTCCCAGTCAGAAGGAGGGCCAGATGCCAGCAGGCCATGGCCAGAGGCGGGGAGGCAGACAGGAGTTGCTCTGTTGGGAGTGTCCCAGGTGCTTCAGAGCACAAGCAGGGGAAGCCCCTGGACCATGACAAGGCATGCAAATCAGCCCATTGACTGGGGGTGGGGGCATGGGGGTACAGGGGCTGGGGCCCAACGGCGGGCCCTATCTTTCCAAATGTGGATGGCCTGGCCCCACAGGGCCTCCTGAGAACAGAAATCCACACATACACGTGCAATTATAGTGGATAGATGCCTTTTTATTGAGGTGTAACTCACGTAGGGTAAGGTACACAGATTTTTAAGTGTATGCCTTGATGATTTTCTTAATATTTTAATTTATTTATTTTAGAGAGAGAGAATAGGGGAGGAGCAGGGGTAGAAGGAGAAGCTGATTCTATGCTGAGTGTGGAGCCCGATGTGGGGCTCGATCCCATGACCCTGAAACCATCACCTGAGCCTCATCTAAGGGTCAAATACTCGAACAACTGTACTACCCAGGCACCCCTGGCTTGATGGTTTTATTTATACTTATACCCTGCAACCTCTACTCAGATGACAATTTAGAATGTTTCCATCTCCACAGAAGGCTCCCTCATGTGCCTTCCCCATCAGTAACAGGCTCTCTAACCCCAAGGGTAACCATCATTCTGATTTCAATCACTTAGATCAATTTTGCTTGCTCTAGAACGCCAACTCTAGGGAATGGCAGTGTGTTCCTGTTGCTCCTCCTTCTTCTGTTCAGCGTTATAAGAGTCACCCATATGTGTACTGCGGTGTCTAATTCATTCTCATAGTTGTATGTGGATAGACCACCGCAAAGCCATACCTTTGCCATTCTCCTGTTAATAGACAATTGGGTGCTTTCCAGTCTTTAGCCATTACAAATAAAACTGCTGGTGCACCTGTGTTCTCATTTCTTCTGGTAGACACCCAGGACAGAAGTTGCTGGGTGGAGGGAACATGCGCATTTATCTCTAGTAGATAACTACTAGTGTTCCCAACGGGGTTGTATAGATCTTGCGCCCCCGTCAGCGGGTGGGAGAAGTCCGGAGACATCCTCACTAGCACTTGACATGGTCAGCTCCTTTAACTTGCCAGACCAAGGTGCCTGGGTGGCTCAGTCGGTTAAGCGTCTGCCTTCGGCTGGAGTCATGATCCCAGGTCCTGGGCTCCCTGCTCCATGGGAAGCCGGCTTCTCCCTCTCCCACTCCCCCTGCTTGTGTTCTCTCTCTCGTTGTGTCTCTCTCTGTCAAATAAATAAATAAGATCTTTAAAAAAAAAATAGAGATAAACTACAGGGCTCTCTCTTTTGCCTTCCCTATGTGTCCCTCTGTGGTGCCGCATGCCCCATGCTCTAGAGATCTGTGGGGAACAAACTCTTTTCTCAAAGGCAATCTCCTGGCCTGCTGGCCTTAGTATACCTAAATAATTATAAAAGTATAATTAAAACAGCACGTTCTCATTAACTCAAAGCCTTGAGAGCTCCCTTGGGGGAGGTTATAAAGCCCCACCTCCCCAAACGGGTCCCATTCTGTCTCTAACGTCTCCTTAGGGCATCTCCAAGACACTCAAGTTCAAAGACTCCTTCATGGCAGCACTGGAAATGAACCCTTGAGACAACAAGGATGGTTGTTGGAGCTTCAGGGTTCTGCATGGACACTCTTCTGGAATTTGGTTGCCACCCCTCCCGACCTGTGGTCTGCCGGACACAGGTCCCCAGGGACAGTGGTGTCCAGTGTTTAAATAAATCTGCAAAATACTATTTGTTGGCACAGTGCTCATTCTGAGCACTTGTGGCATTCCAAGTACTTTTTTTTTTTTTTAAGATTTTATTTCTTTATTTGACAGAGAGAGAGAGAGAGAGAGAGAGAGAGAGAGCACAGGCAGACAGAGTGGCAGAGGGAGAAGCAGGCTCCCTGCAGAGAAAGGAGCCCGATGTGGGACTTGATCCCAGGACGCTGGGATCATGACCTGAGCCGAAGGCTGCCGCTTAACCAACTGAGCCACCTGGGCGTCCCCCCTTTTTTTAATACATAATTTTTTTAAA